TTTCATACTATAAATAGAAAACAATTTGTCAACAATTACATAGAGTTGATACTGCTGTAATAATGCTCTTTATTATTGCAAAGATATAGGTGTTAGATTTAATGAATTAATTGTAATGATTAAAGTTATTCTTACATCTGGGTTCATGATATACTCTTTTGCCTTTAAATTCATACATCTTTCCAATTGGATTTAGAGAAGTCAGCAAGCACAGGCCTCTATATTACACACTAATATAATAATTACTATATTTATATAAAAAAAAAAATCATGAAAATAAGTTGATTAGTAAACAATGAATGGATTCAACAGTTGTTCTGCTATTAATAGATTTAGGAATTTTTTTATAGACAGAAATAGATATTGAAAGTTTTTGAGTTATTGTCCAAATATTATGTAAATGAAATTCTCATTTGTTGAGAAGATATGAAAGGGTTTGGATCCATGAAGGGCTAACAAACAATGCTCATCTTGATTACAGAGAAGTATGAATGACTGTGATTTACCACAATAATGTCACAATAAGAATTTGTTTGGGATATGAAGTGTGTACATTTTGATCAACAAAAGAACTGGACAGATTTATTTATTAATGCAGGGGTTGATTGTTGATTTTTGATTCGTATAACTATCATGATAAACTTAATAACACAGATTTTATATGTGTGTTTGAATTACTGCAGGATTTCTAAATTCTTTGACATTGTTATTGGCAGTCAATAAATAACTTGAAATACAAGCTAGGAGTACCCAGGTTCATTGAATATATAAATTAAGAATTGTTGTAAAGAATAAAGTTTATTTTTATTATTATGTAGATATTAAGATTTAGGATAGTTGTGATACAAGTGTGGATCCAGAAATTTTTTCGGGGGGGGGGGGGGGGGGGGAGTCCACCCTAGTCAATAAAAAAACATCCAGCCCAGAAATTTGTTGATAAAAAAAGTAAATTCCTTTCCCAAACATGAAAAACTTATTTGTGTGTGTGTGTGTTGGTGGGGGGTGGGGGTCAAGCTCATTTTTAGTTACTTTAGTATGTACATTTAATAACTCCACAAATTCCATATAATATCAGTTTCTTTGTAACATCATGTTATGGGTTGTCTGTTGTTTGTTCAATTTTCCTTTTCTCCCTCTCTCATGTATTTCATTCTTCACCAATTGTCTTTTGGAAAAGGGCATAATATATATTTAACTAAAGATTCTATCTGAAAATGAAAGATATTTTGATATCAGTGTTCTGGCAAATTTACAATGAGGTACCTGGATTCAGGGGACATTTGGTGAAGTACATGGGACAGCAAGTAAAGAAAGAAATTAAAGAGGGGGACTTAGGAATGAGGAAATTGGTCAGAGGGCTAGTTATATATGTATCAAAACTCACCCCTTGTATGATTTATTCATGTGCATTGGGAGGGAAAAAAAGGTAAGTTAACTTCTACTTGAGTATACATGTATGTGTTTCTATAGCAATATATGAAATGTACTGTGACCTTTGACCCTCAGGTTGATATAGGTCTACGTACTGTATGTTATTCCAATGAAATTATAAAACGTGCAGAATTGTTGATTTAAGAGGCAGTCCACCGAAAAACCAGGCAATGGGTGGCACATCGCATGTCATGGATTTTAATTATTTTTTGCATGTAGACTTATTAAAGCAAGTGTTTACACATGACAACATTAAAAAAATTTTTAGTGCTCCTCTAGTCCTATTTTTGGTAAATGCTTAATTTTAAGTGCAAAAAGGTCAACATAAGGGTAAAAAAAATTACTACGTTTTTATTTTGTTTTATATGTAACAGATACTCAAAAGCTGGATGTGTCGATGAATATTATTTATAGCATAGACTCTTATCTTTTATTTTATTAATGAATAAGACTCCAATTTATACTTCTTTAGAAAAAATTATATGGTCCAAATTTGAGTTAAGCAAGTAACTTTTTGAATTCAGTATCCAAATTTCATTACGTTATAAAACCCAATACATTACAAGGACAGATTTTTTTTCTTATGTTATTATGAATACAAAGTACAAACTTTTGAATCACTCAATAAAATCAGTGGGAACAGGTATATTGAAAGAAATAAAAGGAGTCAGATTTAACTATTTTTTTATATAATTTTCCCAAATGAAACCGATCCCGACCGGAATTATATAAAGAGAAAAATATTGTAATGTTAAATTTGGCTCTTTTGTTGTAATATGAGTAAAAACTTATACTTGATTTATTTTTTTAACATGTTATATAGGTGGCAGGTGCCTTTAGTTTGAAAAATTTGTTAATTTTGTATTATTTTCGATCGGATCGGGATCGGTTTTTACTGTAAATTTAGAAACATTTCCTATTTGGCTCTTCATTTTAATTTATCAGAAAAATATGCTTGTCTTTTATTTCTTTTCAGTCAGTTAACTGTTTTTAAATGAGTGTAACCATAGATTCAAATTTATATATTATTTAAATTACTAATGTCTTTTACGTACATGAAGATTACATCTAAAACATCTGATTGAATTCTTAATAGATACTCGGTATTTAAAAAAAAGTATTTGTACATGCATTATGCAACAAATGAGAGCAGACAGCTTTCTAGTTTTATTATTTATCTTATTTCCAAGTAAAATTTCTTTTTTATTTCCTCAGGAATTAAAGAGTAAATTCTATCAGTGGCGAAATTAAACTTGCCTAAATACAGGAAATATTTCTATGTGTACAGTCTCGACTTTATCCAAGTTTTTTCTTACCTGTCATCTGTAAAGCCTTTTCCTCTTTTACAAAATTTGATTGTATATAAATAAGAAAATAAGTTCTTTCATATATAGTATAATTATTCAAGAGCCGATAAATCGCAAGCAAAAAGCGCGGGGGGGGGGGGGGGGGTAAGGGATCATGACATCATTATTTTTAAAAATTGGTTTCATGAACGTGAAAACATTTTAGAATTGGCCAACATAGTCACATGTTTAACTCCATATTAAATGTGAGTGTGTGATTGTTTCAATCGCCAAATTAAAAAAAATAATAAGTAAAATAAAAAAAAAACGAAATGTTTCACTAAACCATCTTCCGTTTTAGTGCCAAATTATAGTGGGGAGTTCAGCAGTAGGTTAACTCAATAAATAAATTTTTATAACTTATTTTTCAGGTTTTTTTTTTCATTTTTAATCGTACTTCGGATTGTTTATTTTGATTTGACTGCATAGATAAATATATTTAAGTTTCTACAAATATCATGAAGTAAACATCTCAACTTCGTTGAATTAAGTGTTGCGTAAATCTAAAACATTCATCATTGATTCCCAATTTTATAAGAAATGTTCATGATAAACACTTCATTAATTATTTTTACGCACATCCTAGTAAATCAGTTAAAAAAAATTAGTTCTCAGACATGTATAAAATTACTTATCAAAACGTCATCTAGCTGAGACGCCGCCCGTGTATAAAATACATTTTGATATTAAAATATTATTCAACATTTAGAATAATGCACTCTGAAGAGTAATTAAACAGAAAAAGAGAAATCTTTTTTTTTAAAATCTTTTTCTTTACACTTTTACGCAAAGAATTTACAAACTTCTCTGGAAACTTGTAACTATTTCATTGTGACGCAATATTAGTCAGGTGTATGACGTCACTGATACATCGATGGAAACGTGGATTCAACCTGAATAATAGAGCCAATTTTAATCTAAATATTACGTTTGGAGGCGAAAATGAATTATATTTTGAAAATAAATTATTCAGTTTTTTGTTTAATTATTTTCTTTAGTGTATCGATTCTAAATATTTCACTAGGATTCCGATAAAAAGGTGTTGAGCAGATTTACCGATGCCACGGGAGATAACTCTTGCATCGCAAAATTTCATAAAAACGTCCTTATAAACTAGAAATGCCAGAAAACTACTATCAAAAGTGTTTTTCCCACCGATTTTATTTTTTAAACAAAAAATTGAAATATTTCTAGATTTAGTTAAGTGTGAATTATAGTCCTGTTAAAAATGTATTAGAAATTACAGTTCTTTGTTTCTGACCTACATTCAATGGTTTATATAGGGGCATTCAAAAACACAAAACACAAGGATATTTACTAAATAAGCAATTATCAAACAAATCTTCAATTACATTATTCCTTTTGGGCTACATTGATATTGTTTTTAATAAAATATCAAATATTCCTCACATTCGATGTGCCGCCTATTAATACAATACTGCCTGGTTTTTCGGTGGACTGCCTCTTAATTTGTTGTTGTTGTTCTAAAATTAGAATTTAAAAAATTCCAGTTTTATTAAATATAAAACTGAAAATACCCCAAACATTATATATATATATAAGCTGAAAATAACTAGTCATATATATATATAATGGTCCTCAGGTTCACTGGTTGTGTACATCTTTGATTGGTTGGTTCTTTTTATGTTTTTCAAATGAACAGAATGAGTGACATTGCAAAGCTGTATAATATAAGCTTTTATAAATAGGTCTAGATGATATACATTGTACTGATAATTGAATTGTCCATCAGTTATGTTGTGATAGAATGTTCATACTGTAAATCACTTTTTATTCACAAGAACTTTATTTTTTCCTGTAATTACATGAGACAGACTGCTCACAAAAAAAAAAAAAAAAGAAAAATCATTCTGGGAAGTCATGTATAAGTCTCTAACCAAGGGTAAAAGATCATTTTCATCAGTTTTCACCCATGTCTGTCTAGCTGTCTTATGTTTTCATTAATATTTGTGACTGTATTGGAAGTGTGTAAAATTTTTGTCCTGTCCTTAACTTTGCAATAGAAGAATTAAATTAAATTCATGCATGAAACAGTGATAGCATCAGAGCATTGAATGTTCCATGAATCTGTCAAGGTCATTTGAATAAGGTCTAGGTCATGGAATTGAAAGTATAAAATAACTGGTACATGACTTTACAATGGAAAAGCAGAATCAATTCTGTGTTTTTAACAATTCATGAAACTTATGTTTTCTTTTATAGGAATCCTGATGGTCTTGTATAGTTAATCACCGGACATCATAGAGAGGTTTCAAGGAGTTCATAATGGCAGAGGAGCAGAAGGACTCTGTAATTATAATCTTAATAATAATAATACTAATATAGGGTCATAAAGGACCTTTTGTGTAATAGAGAATTGAGTTCATGTAATGGATATAAGCAATTGCATCTTCTCTGGCTTTTCTGGTGGAAAAACACTTCGAATGTATTTACATCATTGGATGTAAAAAATTTATACAAAATGGAGTGGCTTCCTATTTTTTAAAGTATTGGATAGACAGACTTGGTTGTTTCTTCTATAGTAGATTTAAGGTAATTTTATATTCAATGATTATAAGTTCCAGACTCTATGGATAAGAGGTCTCCCTACATTTATTTCAAAGTTTATGAAAAGGGGGGTTGTCAAGGACACCTAAGAAACACGTTAGAAGTTGTTTTTCTGCCTGTCGGAAAGGCCCAAGGGATATAAGCTAAATACTATTCTATATGATTAAGGCCCAATTTTACATATACCATTGCAAGAGGCATTATTGTTTTTAATTGACCTACAATGTTCACAAATATACTGTATTCCAAAACTTCTTGTGTGAAAGGCTCATTTTATGATTTAATTCTTAAGATATGGTAAATCATTCTCAGTATCTAGACTATTGTTCTTTGAACATGAAAGTATTAAAATTGGTTACACTGTAGTGTCTGTTGTGTATATACGAGATGAAGTTTGAGTTTTGTAGGATTTGGACCATATTTAGACTATTAATTATTGGGGAGTTTGAATGCTGGTCTGTCCATTTTTTCCCTTTTCTTTTCTGTGTATTAGCTCTTCTGAGCCAAAGGCTCAAAGAGCTAATACTATGGCCACTTGTGCGGTGTGCCTAAACTTTTCAAAATATGGGCCATATCTCAAGAACCCCTTGGCCAATTTTTGTCAAATTTGTCACATAGTATCCTTCGCTCAAGGGCTCTGGTTTATACTAAAACTACGGATGTGACTCTTAAACAAGGGGATGTGACTCTTAAACAAGGGGAGGTGACCTTTATACAAGGGGAGATAATTAGGAAAATAAAAACAAAAGTACTGGTTGCTAAAAAATCTTCTTCTCAAGAACCACTTAGCAGATTATCACCAAACTTACATGCAAGGATGAGAATATGTTGTAGAATAAAAATTGTTCAAGGCATTACCCTGGGGCAAAGGGCATGGTCTCAAGTCACTGCAGAGTTAATCAAAAATTGTGTTTTGTTAAAACTTTGATATTTTGCTTACTATTAGGACTAGGATCATCAAATCTTGTCAATTGATATATCTTAAGGACCTCATATAATGATGACTCAAAAGAAGGTCACTGTGACCTACTTTTTGAACTTTGCATGCATTTATTTCAGTTTGATTTTGATGCATATCTCGGACATTTTAAAGCCAATAATCATCAAAACTTGTCGTCAGTTTATGCATTATGGGGGCTTAAAGTGTGTCAACCAAAAAGTAGGTCACCATGACCTACTTTGTGAATTTTACGGCTATCATTTTCAAAACATTTAAGATAAGTATTTTGGATACTGATAGGTTTAGAATAATCAAACCTTGTAAGTTGATGCATTTTAAGGCCTTAAACATATTTATTTAAAAACTAGGTCACAATGATCTACTATTTGAATTTTGCATACATTCATTTTCATATTGTTTAAGAGGCATATTCTGAACACTTTTAAGCCTTTGATTATGAAACCTTGTCAGTTGTTGAATTCTAAGGCCTCAAAGTATTTCAACCAAAAAGTAGGTCACAGTGACCTACTTTGGGAATTTTATGGCTAAATTTATTTCAGATACTCATTGGCATAGAATCATCAAACTTTGTCAGTTGATGTTTCTTGGGTCCTGGGAATGTGTCAACTGAAAAGTAGGACACTGTGACTTACATTTGGAATTTTTATGGCTATATTTAAATGTTTCGAATACTAATTGACTTAGAATTATCAATCTTTGTCATTTGATGCATTATGGGTCCTCAGAATGTTTCAACTGAAAAGTAGGTCATAATTACCTACTTTGGAATTCCTTGGCTATATCTGAATATTTTAAGATAAAAAGGAGCTTCAAATCATCAAACATTTTTTTTGGTTGATGCATCTTGGATTCTCAGAGTTTTTAACCAAAATGTAGGTTACAGTGACCTACTTTTGGAATATCAAGGCTTTATCTAAATATATATACTAAGAGGCTTCAAATAGAAGTGATAGGTTGTACAATTTATCAGAAGAGTGCCCTTGAGCCTCGTTATATTTTCTTCCATTTGCCTTCTGACAGTAACATGCATATAAATGAAAATAACATGTCTGTGAATTTAACAGGTAAAATGGATAAATTATAGTATTTTACTGTTGAAATGTAAAATGTTTTAATAAATTTTTATTATTAGCATTTGTGTACAAAGTTAAGATATATTGTTTATTTTTAGGAGGGACCTTTAAGTGATTTATATGGTAAGTATTTTCTCCATATTTTAATTCTTCTGAAACAACTACTTACATCACATCATGAATATAGTAAAACATAGTTCCAACGAACATGCTTATTATGGATTCACACTTTCAATGTGTTTTTCATACCCTGTAGTTTTAAAATTTACTAGTATTTCAGAGTTATCAGATGTAGCAAAATAAATTTATAATGAATCAAATTCATTATAAGCATGTTTACTGTAGATGTTTTCAGAGTGATTTCATGTTTTAGTAGCTCTACTGGTCAGAGACCAGAAGAGCTTATGCAATAGTAATGTTCCATCATCCATCTGTCTGTCTGTAAACAATTTTTCAAAATGCTCTTCCTCCTACAGATTTGGTTTGATTTCAATATAACTTCGGACACAACTAGATACACTAAGATACATAATTCTTTGTATCGTTTTTTTTTTCCATGAAAGGTGTTGCCATGGTTACTTGAAATAGAAATTTCTGTGAAATACTTTCATAAAGCTACTTCTCCTACAGTTTTGGTCTTATTTCAGTATAACTTGGCAAACAAGTAAATTGCATTAAGCTACATAACTCTATTTATTGTCTTTTGATTTCTTTGAATGGTGTTGTCAGGCCGGGTTACTAAAAATAGGAATTTCTGTGAAATATTTTCAAAATGCTACTCCTTCTACAGTTTTGGTCTGATTTCAGTATAACTTGGCACACAAATAGACTATACTAAGATTCATAGTTTTGTATATTGGTTTTGATTTCAATGAACAATGTTGCCATGGTTACTAGAAAAAGAAATTTCTGTGAAATACTTTCAAAAAGCTGTATATTTCTTGCTTGTCATTGAAATTATCTTTGCAAATGAAATCTTTTGACATGTAGCTCTCTGTAGTCATTGCTAACTTTTAAACAATTGGACACCAACTTCTCTAGAACCTTACAACAAGATTGGAAGAAAATATATAGCATAGTGTAAAGATTTCAGGGTTCAGCATTTTAAATATAAATCTACATGTATATGTGGAAAAATCTATGAAATACTTACACTGTAAGCTAATTATAGGCCTTGATTTATCATAGAGAAGATCAACACCTAGTGTTGCTTCCCCTGCAGCGAGAATGGAGTCAAAGAGATCATAGTCAAGGACTATTATACAAAAACAAAATGTTTTTAAAACAACATTTAGAATATGTCATATTACTTTTAAGATTAAAAGTATACAACAAAAAATATAAAGTCGATCAGTCTACTTGTCGTCCAGTGTATAATGAAAAAAAAAACATCAATAAATTTCTAAGTTTGTGAATTTTTATGACATTTATGTGTTAGATGATTAAAAAAGAGAGAGAAAAAACTGTAACGAAGTTTGACTGTAAACATGTCACTCTCTACCATCGGCTCATACATTCACCTCTGTCGTTGGCTCGCGTATATCACAGTGTTAAGCACAAGAAATAGTGTGATTGTTTCGATTCATTATAATTAAATTCCTGCACTAATGTTTGTCTTTTAAGGCAGATATCTACTAAGTAGATCTAGACCTATTACATTGTATTTTAATTTGAAATAATCCTTGGAATATCATGGTTTTTACCTTATGTCAAAAATCTTGACGCAAGCCCATTGCAGAGGTGTCTGAGAGAGGAACGAACAACAACTCTGCATAGGAGATTGTAAACATGTATGTGGTACAGAATAATTCTAGAGAATGGGTCTCAAATGCTTGATAAAGCGCAGAGATAGACATTAACATTCAGATCCACTTGCCATACTGTTACAAGTAAGTAATATGTTTCGTGCTTGTAGATTCAACAACATTGGATCAAATTATTAAAGATATTCAGGATGTATCAAATGACCAGGGGTCTGGAATGGATATTGAGGGTATTAGCAACCCACCGATGCAAAATCCAGGTAATTTTACATCATTTTTCTTGTAAGACTATGTAAAATTATGGCACCGTTTTGCTGAACTGACACAACTTTTCACCTACCACCATATTATTATTTATAAGGTTTGTTTCTGATTGTCTACAGAAATTTGTCAGGTTGATCAAGCCTTAAGAGATTGTGAAGTGAGTTGAGCCCTAGCTCTGATGCTTGATTAACTTGACAAATTTTTATGGACGGTCAGTAACAGTCTTAATAATTTACTTACTTGCCCATGACTATTAAATACATTGAATTTTTTTTTTTTTGATAAATAATATGTATTCATTTATCATGATTATTGCTTTTGTGTACAAATCTTTGACATCATTGCATTGTTTTATTTTGATTACATTACTGAAACTAGACTACATCAACTTAAATAATTCTACTCATTGATTACCAATTTTGAATGGTGTTGCCATGGTTACTAAAAATATAAATGATAATATTATTTAAAGACACTGCTCTTTTTTTAGTTTTTATCTAATTTTAATCCTTGTATAGATGGAAGTATTCATGTATATATGATTACATGCTTAGATTTACAATCGTAGGAAAATCTGATGTTTTATCTTCGACATCTGTATGTGATAATTATATTAGTTCATTGTGTTGATTCTTAATTCTGATGAATGGTGTTCTCGTAATCAGTAAAAAAAAAATCATAGAATCCTTAAAACTGCTATCTTTCCTACAATTGATTGAACTGAGTTTCTGGTACTTTTATGCTAGATCATATCAACAAGAATTGCCTCTGTAAGCTGACGATTTGAATCAGTGTTATTGCAGCTGTTGCTAAAAATGGACAAAAAGGAAATTATTTGTTGAAAGTTATGAAAGTATTTTGATATTCTGCTTCTTACTGTGTGGTTACAGAATGAAGAAGTGTTGTAACCTTTCAAATAACAGATTGATTAAATAATGAATTGTTTGAAGCCCTTTGACAGGTGCTTCATGAATCCAAACCAGTAGAGCTACAGTCTCATCAGAGATTTTGGTTTTTATACAGGAACAAACCCAGATGGTAACACATATAATGGAGGACCTAATGGCATCACACAGAGACAATCAACAATGGCAGTCCATATAGCAAACCGTATGACAAGGTTCAGATACGACACAGAGCTTAATAATCGAAACATTGGCAAAGAAGAACTCATGTCAATCAAGGTAAAATCTGGTCACAGCAATTCAGTTTTAAGTGATTAATATTATTTTTAGGTCAACTGAGTTACTCAGGTGACCTATTGCTATCTGTTTTTTGTTGTGCATCGTCCATTAACATTTGACAATTTCAGCTTATTCTCTATAGCTGCTGAACCAATTTCAACCAATTTTGGCATAAAGCATCTCTGCACGAAGAAAAATTGAAATCGTGAATTTAATGGTCCCTGCCTCCCAAGGGCCTGAGGAGTGGGCTAAAACCATAAAAATTAATGCGATCTTTAAAATATTCTTCTTTACTCGTGGACTTCAAGCAGTCAAACTTGGCATGATTGTAATAAGTATTGAGCCCTCTGCCAGAATTGTGAAATTCATGGCTCCAAGGTTAGGGGCTCTAGTGTTAGGACGGAGCTCTTTAGATCAGTGCATTAATTCTTCATAAATCTTCTTCTCTTGTTTAGGTATTTAGAATACAAACTATGTGCATGGTAATGATGAGCAAGAATGCTTCTTCTGGCACCTGGGTGAGGGGTGAGGGAGTTAATGGCAGGGCTCCATTGATCAGTAAATGCATAAATTCTTTCAAATCTTCTACTCTGTTCTTGAGTAGGTTGCAAAAAAACTAAGTGCATGGTTGTAACAAGCGAGAGTGCCTCTTCTGAAATTGTGAAATTCATGGGCTCTGGGTGAGGAATCTGGAGTTAAGGCAGGACTCCATTATAGATCATATAGTGAAAAAGCATTCTTTTAAAATCTCTGCTCTTGGATGTTTAGCAGACAAACTAAGTGCATGGTTATGATGAGAAAGAGTGCTTCTTTCGAATTCTGAATTGGCCTATTGGTGAGGAGTTCTGGAGTTATCAAGTTATTTTGGAGCTATATTATGATCATTTATCAGAATAGTTACTTTGCATTAAGAGAAGTACTGTATAAGTGGAATTTATTAGCAAGACGCAAACATAGTGATTTGTCCTTAATAATAATTATTTTATTTTAGCAAGAAGTAATTTTAGAGATTTAATAGCACCCTAAAAAAACAACAGTAACCTCCAAAGCAGTATAATGCATGTACAAGAATTTTAAATATAAATATACAAAGTATTTTCATAGTCTTAATAGTCAAATAGACTTGTAAGTAATAGATGGCACTGGCATATACAGGCAAGATTCTGAGTTGTTGCTTATTATCTGACAAACTATTTTGTTGATCCCTGATCATCCTTTTTTCTCGTTTTTGAGTGTCACTTTATTTCATGTTATTATATAATTATTTACCATTCCATAGATCCTTTAAAGGGTTGTATTATACTCAGGTGACCATTAAGGCCCTTGGGCCTCTTGTTATTGAATCCTGTCTGCTTCAGAATGTGGACTTTTTGTATACGGTTGTCAAATGGGTCAAAATCTAGAACATGTAACCAAGTGCTTTTCTGTTTGAGTACTGTAGATTTCTTATTTTACAGAAGTAATTATTATCGTGAAATAACTCGTAGCTGTCAAAATGCAAGAAATGGAATGTTGAACTAGGGCTACATTTAGTTCAACATTATAAAACTAAAAGCGAGTGATTTTACGTCACAAGTGGTGCCTCTTGTGAAATTACATGAAAGTAATTTTTCCATATCCGTTTGATATGTTATTATATCAAGCTAAATGTAATCTTATGCCTTAAAAGCAAGATACAGAAAAGTTTTAAATATTTGTATTTGTAAAGAAACTAGAATTTTTTTCCTGGTTTTTAAAATACATTTTATTGTGGAAGTTTGAAGTTACTTTTCATAAAATTCACTTTCTAAGGAAGAAAATACTGTAGATGTACTTTTTCCACAGAATCATAATTCCATGGACCACAATTTCTGTTCAATCCCTGGTTAGAAAATTACACAGATTTCTGGAATTGCCTTTGTATGCCCTTTAATGCTGTGACAAATTTGCATGGAAGGTGCATGGATGTACATAGCATAAATTAATCCCAAGTAAAAAAAAGTAGATCTACAGTATTAGCAAACTGGGGCATTGTATAAACAAGCTTCATTTTGACAAATTACCATGTGTGTGTGCCACGTAAACATCTACCAAGTGCTTTGATGTTCTGCATAATTTTAATTATTTAACATAAAAAAATTTTAAGTAAAGATTTGAAAATCTCAAATTTTGTTCTGTGTAACTCACAGAGTAGAAATTTAATTCGACATTCTGCAAGTACAAGTAGCAAATACATTATTCCTACCATTGACTAGCTCTAAAAACTTTTTTGAATGTTTGTAACAGATATTGACACATGTTTGTTTTCAAGTTAATATGTGAATTTTCCTTTCACTCCTAGTTCATCAATATAGATACAGAGGTCTTTGTGAGAGTCCATTGTGTAGATCCCGTCAACAAAAAGGCACATCCATACTGTTTAATTGGTGACAAGTGTAAAAATGGACTGTATTGCGAAAAGTTTCATCCCACCGTTGAAAATAAAAGTACATTGTAAGTGGAAATTCTGTTGTCAGCTGGTACATGGTTTGGTAAATCAGTGTTTCTAGTAGAGCTGTCAGTGATGAGTTAAGTACCATTCCCTCATAGAAAATCCAGTCTATATGACTTTTGCCACAGTTAATTAGCAAAGAATAAGTGCCTGCATTAGCTACCATGGCCATACCTGTACTTGTTCTAATTTAAAATGATATGTGGGAATGAAGAGATAAGTAAAGAAAATTAAACAGAAAGTATGTGGTTGCAGTTTACTAAACTGTCACAATTAGTTATAGAATTCATGTTGATAATTTGGCTGAGAGTACATCTTAACTTTATTGAATATTTTACCTCAGATCCTGTAAAGCAACCATAAAAATTCCCAAAAGAGGGGAGTATGAAGACGAACTCAAAAAACGAAAACAGACCATGGAAAAACACCTAGGCCTATTTAGTGAAGAAATGAAGAAAGGTATGCTCAGTGTTATTTTATATAAAGGACTGTAAAAATGGTAATATAATTGCATATATTTCCTTTAAGATGAAGGGAGACATTTTGTTTTATGATCAGTATTTTTGTCTGTCAATGTAAGACTTGAACCTCTTATCTTTAAAAAAAATCCTAGGCTTATGATATTTGGTTTGTATGTGTACCATCATAAAATGATACATGTGAACTATGATGACATCACGAATCAGTGACCTAAATGTGACCTTGACAATATTTTAACAGCACTTTTATGAAAACTTTCCATACCTTTTTCCCAAAAATTTTATTTTATTCAAGCATAAAGAAATCACAGATGCCATAAGAGCTACATAAATCATACTAGGGCTGCATTCAAGAACATAGCAGCTACCCAGCTGTACAAAGCAGCTTTGATCTTGAATGATAGGCTAGCCTAGCCATAACAAGCATTACTTCACAGTGCATGCAGTACGAACTAGCTAGGTTAGCTGCTATAATCTTAAATGCAGCCCAGAAGTAGAAAAAAAATAAGTCTACAATGTAGTACAAAGTTACATAGATTATAGACTTATATTGTATACATGGAATAGACAGATGGTTTGCCTCATCAATAATGGTCTCAAATTACAATGTGTTTTTTGTTTATATCTCAATGGTGACTGTTATCTTTGAATGTAGGATTATGATTTTAAGGTGTGAATGTTACCTTGGAAAGATCTGCCATCATTACCTTTATGTGACCTTGACCTTTGACTTAATTCAAAGGAGAAAGATACTTTTAAATATTAAAGTTGGATTTGGTTTTATCAATTAAATTGAAGCAAGAATTTATAGTAATGCATATAGTTAAAAATTATGAAAATTATTGGTGAAAATTCTTATTTTCACAGCTGGATACTGGAATACAAATAAAAATGTCAAAGAGTGCAAATGTGTGGCATTGTGTGTAGAGGCCTTCTACAAGACTGGACAACAGATGTTCATGCTTCACGAAATTACCACAGGCTTGTTAAATGCCAGTGAGTTTGATTTTTCCTGATATTCTCATATGTTCTTGTTAATGTTATATGGAAATGAACTTGTAATCAGTTTAAAACTTATATATTCTCAAAATATTATTTATGTAATTTGTGCATATGAGTTATGCCACTTTCATTTGTAAAACTTTGAACCCCAATATGATCCTTAATACCACTTCTCATCCCAGGTGACCATAATTCAAAGGAAATAAATATCAGAAGCTTATTAGAAAAGTTCATCTTTTCTGAACTGCTAGTACTGTAAGGTTTTCTATTACCCCTATCTATTGTCATAAACTTTTTACATTTTCAGTTTCTAACCCAAAACTCTGGACAAATTTTAACCAAACTTGCTTCAAGCATCCTTAGGGAATTTAAATTAATTAAAATGAAAGACAGTACTTCCTATCAAATTAAGGGGAAAGAGTCCAGGTAATGCAGAAAAAGTTGAGGTTATTTAAAGAATTGTGTCCCCCCCTTCTTTCCCCATTTTCTTTGTGAATAAAGTTGATTTTGAAATGTAATATAAGCAAAATCAGATGACAAAAGTGATTTCAACCTGGAGTTGTAGGACAAAAGCCTGTGGAGTTGAGTCCAATCCAAATTGCCATCACATTATAATTCATATAGTGTGTTTATATTGAAGAATCAGTCACAGAATGGGTGATTAGAATTTATTTGAATTTCTGGAACATCAGGAACAACACTTAGGAATTGTACTTGGTATAGTTTGACAGTGGAGGGAAAATCAACTCAGATTTTTACAAAACAAATTTTAAAAAAAATTTAAAGTTGTCTTGCTTTTAATTTTTCTCCTGATAAACAAATGGTATTATCAGGGCTCGAAATAATTGATGGCCTGCTGGTCTGGGGCCAATGAATTTTTAATCTTGGCAAGTACTTTACGTAGGGCATGTGCCCTTTGGGTCAGTGTTTTGTTTTTTTTTTATGCATAAAAAAGTCATTCAGGGTCGGGCTAGTTAATTTGACAGGGTTGTGTGTCGAATTTCTGTCGTTTCTTGTTTTGCTAAGCGCTACTACTAAGTGTCACAATATTAACAAAATATTACTATTATTAATATGGTTTTTGGAATTTGGGCCAGTCATTTTAAAATCTTCTGGCCCAGTGGAACAGTAAAAGTACTGAGCTGACCAGTAAAAAATTAGTGCAATAGCCCTAGTGACTATGAAAAAAAAAATTATTTCTAGCCCTGATACTATGTTATTATGACTTATTTTTGCTAAATATCTGGAATGTTTGCTTTTTTCCCTGTGACTAGAGGAGGGTAGGGGTTTCAGTGTCCATACTATCCGTCCATTTGCTCATTACTGCACGGGCTCCAGGAGTCAAGATGAGAATATGCTGATAGTTCTGACCGCTGATTCTTTTATTCCTAAAGGTAAAATATTCACTAAAGTGACATAGCAAAGAGGTCGTGTAACATTAATTCCACAATGTGAAAATCTTTTTAAATTTTAACAGACTAAAAGTACCAGAAATATTTGATCCATATGAATGTTGATACAGATAATATCTGGGTAAAGATCATAGATTGAGCATATGGTGTAGGTTGGATTATCTGTTTACAACTTTAATGTAGCCATATCTTACACTAATACTTGATTAAGGAGAAAAGCAAGGCTATACACAGGGTCAAGGTCAAATAGAGGTAAAAGGTCAAGAACAAATATGCCACAATGGTGTTTCAAAAACGTACTTTTTTTTATAGATCTGAAACTTTTTTTAAACAGGGATAGAGATCAGATTTCAAGATGAGGAAGGATGGTATGCAAAAGCTGAAAAACCTACGATAATAAAAAATGTAAGACTTTTCATTTTATTAGGTGCAATTACATTTGAGGAATCAAAATTTATTGGAAAACAAGACAAATGAAATGTCTTCAATGGCAGGCCCCAAGATCATCAAATTTTCAATCGCCTGTAAAATGTTTATTTATTGTTGAATCAATCTCTAAATTTGCAGATAACAACACTTTTGTGAAGCAATATAGAAGAATATTTTATTTTTGGTCTGTATGACTTATACAAAATTTTAGCACAATATAAAGATTTTGACTTAAGCTTAAATAAGATGTTTCATGATCCCAGGGCCTGATTCTTTATAGATTTTGTTTGTAATTTTGACTGTGTGATGTGAATTCAAGTAGTAGATTTCTTCTACTTTATCAATCTATAGGTACTGGAAGTGAAAATACCTCCTTACAAAAACACAGAGCTAGAGGAGGCCAAACAAGTACATGTGCTTGTGAGGTCCGATAGCAAAGTCAATCTAGAAGCCAATCCCATCAAATTCATGTACAAACCACACGGTAGGATCTTCTGGAGTAATATCAAATCAAAAACTGTCAAAGTTTCTGCTACAAACATTGATGAAAATGAAGTTAGTTATTGCATGTGGTTCAATTTTCTTAAGTTCCTTAAAATGCTTTTGCTAACATTGTAACAAGTCTTGTAGGATATATACAGTTCAACTTTTCTGATTTAGAACTTTTTTTAAAATTTGAATTTTCAGAAGGGACTGTAATCGAATGCAAAAAAAGAAAACGTCAAGACTACAGTAACATTCCCCAGGACATTTTATTGGAAGCAAATGGTAAGAAAAGTGTATCAATTCTTGATTTTTGTAATTATGCAGGTGTTATATGTAACACAGATTTAAGTACAGTATATTAAAACCATAGCCTAAGGACCAGAGTGCACAAAGAAGGTCTATATAGTTTTGTATTTGATTTAAAAAATAAAATATTTTCATGCATATACAGTCAAACCTCGTTATCTCGAACTCGATGGGACTGAGATAGAACTTCGAGATATCCGAGGATTGGAGATTTCAAGGGTAAAATACTTAAAGAATAAGTAGTTGGGACTTCCAAATCACTTCGACATATCCATGGTATTCGAGATATCAGTGTTCGAGATAGATGTACCAAGTTCAACTGTATTTTGAATAGTAACCAATTTAAATATATTATGGCTCTCAAGTTTTACAAATGAGTAGAAAATACAAAAGAATATGTAAAGTGGCCAAACTAAAATTTGCAGTCAGTAGTGACTATGAAGCCCCATAAGCCTTATGTATTAACTAATACTGTAGACTGTAGGTTGGCAAATTATCACAATGGTTTTAATTTCACTATGTTCGTGATTCATCATTTTCCCGCAAAATTAAACCCATCGTGAGTGTTCGTGATTCATCATTTTCCTGCGAAATTAAACCCATCGTGAATGCTATCATAAGTTTTTAACAATAAATGCTAAGAAATAGACGTTTTTATTAGATAAACAATAAACTACATGTTAATACAGTATATTTTTAGTCAACTTTTAAACAAATATTTGGAATAACATTAATTTAAGTTGAATATATATTATAATTAATGTTAAAAGTAAGAATCAGTTGATATCATCATTTTGTTAAATGGCTGACATGAAAAAAGGTATAACAACTGCTTTAAAAAATGTAAAAAATGAAAGAAAGAAAAAATGAAAAAATCTGCCTGCCGCATTTAATTTTGAATTTTTTTCGCCTGAGAAACTATTAATTAATTTTATATGGCCTTATTGGCATTGGTATCTAAGGCTAGATTTAAGGAAATTTGATTTCCCTAAAGATGTATTTATTTTTGTACTTCTATAGGATGCAGATGTCAACATTTTACAATACTGTTTCTAAGACTCCAAAGAACCTTGAACCATATTGAGATGCATGCAATAAAAATTTTTGCATGGAAAGATTTCAATTTCAAGCTGTTTTTGAGACTTACAAATGTAATTATGATACAATGATTTTAAGAGTTATCCTTCCTGGCTGAAGAGTGGATATCCTATTTCCTGAGGTGAAGCCAAGGGAAATGGTCCTCACTGAGGGGAGAATCTTGCTAACTCCCTCAATGAAATACTTGTTTAATTGTTTTATTATACTGGTACAAATTTTGAAGCAGGGATTAGCTCACTTGACTAATGCACAGCAAAACAGGGATTAGTCCATTCACAGCAATTTCCAGGGAATTACATTGTATTCAAATCTAAAGATCTAATTTTTAAAAAAGGAAAAAATCAGTATAGGAATAATAACATTAACTAAACTCTGTGAAAACTGACTTCTTCAGTTGATAACACTTGCTTCAAGATGAGTACAGCAAACATGTATGTCACTGGTAGACATTTTAGTGTGATGCAAACATAAGCAATATGTCACTGCTTACCGAAAGTACCAAACAATGGAATTGTAATATTTATGTTACATTTGTGGTTTAAGATTGTGTAACAGCTGAATGAAATCAGATTGCCTATGATTGATTTAACCAAGTGATACTTGACCTTGCTAGCAAGTGCTCATTGATATTGCAAATGTTTACATTCATATGATGTAATTTAACAGGTGCAGATGCAAAAATCAGAATGAAATCACATTTGGAACGTAGGAAAAAGATCAGTAAGTCCAATATAAATATATTTTCGTTCTTAGAACAAGGTGATGATTAAATATTTTTCATTCTATTATTCAGATCAAAACTTTGATAATTTTTTTAAATAGTCTCTAAAATATAACAGTTACAAATTAAAATATAATGTGTATTTTAATATAATATAGAAAGTAGAAAACTGAAACACCAAGTTGACAATTACAGGTAAGGCAAGTGCCACCATTACAGCACCACAGCCCAGTGATGGTTCTTGTGCCCAGAACATTTTGCCTACAGATCCAGTATTTGATCCAGTGCAAAATTTGGATCCAAATTTTGATTTCCTCCAAAATCTTACATCCACAACACCTGCCTCCATTTCTGCTGTGCTGACTCCCTCCAATGTTCCCTTCACATCTCCAACACAACCTGGTTATATGGATGCCATTACCAGTCAGAGTATGTTGTATGGAAACCCCACCAATCCAAATTATCAATCCACATCATCCATATACCAGATACCAGTTCCATCTCCACACACAAAGCCTCCAATTTCTGCCCAACAGATGAACATGTCTGTTCAGTCACCACAAAGTCACTTGCCAGTTCAGCCCCCCTCAAGTCAGTTTTCTGTGTCTTCACCACAAAACAATGCAGTTGGCTCAGTAACCTCCCCACCACCTCCCCAGTCTCCCATGGGTAACATAGGAAAGTTTAAGACTGTAGCCATTGCTGGAACAAATCAATGGCTCCTCATTGATCAGTTTGGAAAGCCTCTTCTTGTCCTGGGTGGTCAAAATGATGAAGTATCAGCATCTGAAGTTCAGGAGCTTCCCTCTATGAATATGGGATACATTAGCAGTCCACCCCAGTATGATATGTCTGGCTCTTATCCACCTGTCAACCAAGCAAGTGACATGCTTGCAATTAATCCACTTTCCACTACAACGGATAATGACCTGGAGGTGGATGATGCAGGTGATAGTGCAGATGTCCCTTCCTCTGTCAGTGGTTCACCTGAAACAGGAAAGCCACAAAACAAATTAAGTACATCCACGGCCTTTGAAGGCTCTGAGCAGGCTGATGATGCTGTGGTGGAAGAGGAGGTGGACGAGGCTACTATGAGTATGGAGAAGATGAGTCTTGAACTTCCCTCATCTACATAGACAGGTGATCAACTTTTCGTTGTCAAAAATTTGAAATGTGAATTGTTTTCTTCCACTTCTTGGAATTTATGTGCAGAACATTTCATTAAGGAGAATAAACTCTTGTTGCTTAAAAAAAAAGATTAGACACACAAACTGAAGTTTTTAGCCTTCATTTTTTTTTTATATATGAAGTTACTGTTTTTGATGCGTGTGTTGGATTGAACCAGAAAATATGGCTGGAAGAATACATGACTCAGAAAACCAAAAAAAAGTACAGTATTTGTGAACAAGAGGGCAGAGGAAATCTTTATGTGGGGCAAATTGTTGCTTTTTCCCATCAGCATTGATGTTTTATTAGAGATTCTGAATTCAGTGATGCTTTGGTCCAGGATCTTTTTATTTACCAGTAGTGCCATTGATGTTTGAAACAAGTGCTGAATGCTTATCAGAAAATAAACATGTTTGCCATTTTCATTCACGTAAAGATCATTACCTGTACTTTTATCAATTATTTATTGTATAATAGTTCATATTTAATTTGTGTAAATGCATGATATCAATGTCAGGGGTATGTAAGAGATTATAGGCTTTTTCCCAGGATATTTTAAAGTTGTTGTTGTATATTTTTAATAATAACATTATACTTGTCTTTTGCTGTATATCATTTTAATAATGATGTCATACTTCTTTGTTATTTGTTTGTTTACATCTGGAAAGAAATTGTTCATTGTTTTTGTTGCATTCAAGACTACATGCTAGTGTATGATGGAAGACTACATGCTAATGTATGACAGTGTTGTCGGAAATTGAATTTGAAAAGTGCTTTACAGCTTAAATGGGATACATATACTGATTTGCATGTCATATGGCTGAAGTTTTTCATTGCTGCTAATACATTTTTAAAATATCATATTTTTACAAAGACGTAAAAAAAAAATTTTCTTTTAATTTTACAATAAAAGTTCTGCTTTGTGCATAATGATTATGTGAAGAAGGATACTTATGTGAAAATGTCATTTTGCTTTATTTTTTAGGCTCTCTAAAGTTAATTCTATGTTTAACGTTACCCATGCACATAGGTTTCGGATAAATTGGTAGTTTGAAAAAAAAAAAACAAACAAATCAGTATTTTTTAAGTTTGGATTCTGGTTTGCTTTTACTTTTAGCAATTAAAAAAATGCATTCCAAAGGAGTGGTGAACATGTTGGCCCTGTATGAGGTATATTCCAGATGAGTCTATCCCTTATAATGACAGATTTACAAAAACTGATCATTAAACAATAAGCCTTCATGTTGCGCAAATATTTACAGTATTTACAGGTTTTGAAGTTTCTTGGTGATGTTAAACATTCAATTAATTTCAGCCAGTCTTTCAGTGTGTTTTTTTTTTATACTAAGAAGAACATGTATGATGCTTAAATCATATTTTTAACCTTTAATGAGATTGTACTTTGATGAAAGTAAAAAGAATTCAAAGCAATAACAATATTTTTTTATTGGAAAATTGCTTTGAAGTTAATAAATTTTCTTATTCAGTGTTTGAATAAAAAAAATCTGTATTTGTACAGTGTACTTTTGTATGTGCCGTGTAACAGTTATTTTAAAACTAGCTCTCTCTAAAAGAATCACACTTATTGATTTAACTGACAAGTGATTACACAATGTTTTAATTACTATCTTATAAATTTAAATTTATAATTCACTGTTATTGTTTAATGCTGGTTTCTGTCAATTTCCTGGCTTCTCATACATGTATGTATCATTTGTAAACTCTGATTTTTTAACATTATTTTTTGTAATAAAATTGATAAATATATTTTTGTCAAATAATTTACTTGTTAGGGCATCTAATTTGCTGCAACATTCTAATTTGTTGTTGTTGTTTGTTTTCTGTTGTTTTGCTTTGCTCCTTGCAACCATTTGAAGATTTCAACTTGGACACACCATATACAATGTGACCCCCCCCCCCCCCGAAATATGGTGAATCACAGACACCTGACGTTACTTATTTTTCTTTTCATAAAAAAATATACCCCCTACCTAATAATAGGCAGGGGGTATATTTATTTTTATTAAAAGAAAAATAAGTAACGTCAGGTGCTTGTGTGGTGAATCTACATCCATATAATCATGATAATTACCAGCACTTGTTAACATGTTTTAGAACATAACTGTGTCATGTACATTTGTGTTTCAAGAATGTGCTTCATTATGGGAAAAGATTGTAAAAGAAAAGTTAGTTTATAACTATGGCAGCTGTAACTATGCGTACATGTATATACACATATTTTTAGACTCGTTTATAAAAGATACCAATTTCTAGCATAACAGTCCTCATAATCTTGGGTGTTTACAGTAGTTGGTCTCGGTTATGTTCTTGGACTGATACTCTGTGTATCATCTGGACAGAAAAGCAAATGTTTTGTGGTTTAAAAAGAACACTGAAATCGTACGTGGACTAATTTAGATAGAATAATTGGGCACAAACCTTGATTTCAATTTCATTTATAAATGCCATGTTCCTCATCATAACCTCATCATTTTATTTGGTGGCTAAGAAGAAAATGATTGTTTATATATTGAAGGAAAAAACTTTTTTCAAAATAAATTTGTGGTGAAGGTAAATACGAAGAAAATTCCATAGAAGAGAATTTCATGTTTTTTTTTTCTTTTAAAATTTATCTATGAAGAATTTAATTTGACATTTTATAGATGAGTTATCATATTCTGTTGCAACATTCATGTAATTTTTAGTGTAAATTTTCATATTATACTTGGAAAATCTGCAAGTTTTGTTTAATTGTGCAAATGCTATTGTCTAATTTTCTCATGATTTATTTAGATGTCTGGTACTTACAACTACTTTATTTATACACGTAGTACTATAAATACATGTAGTATCTATAAATAATTTTAATACAAGAGAATCTTGTTTATAGTCTAGTTTGGTAATGTAACTATAAAAACATCACACCAGAATAGAGAACATGTTAAGAAATGAAGGGCAAAAACGTCGAAATGAAGGGTTACATTGTAGTTCTTTTTCTGGAGACACTGAAGAAATCCCTCTAAGTATAAGTTTTTCACGTTTACTGCTTACTTGGGTTGTGTGTTTTTGCTTTAATGTTGCAATCATCCATCCCTTTAAAACTACGGGGGTATTAGTACCATATATTTTTAAGTTGGTTATTCCAGCTTTAAAGTTGGTAAGTCAAACTTTAATCTTGGCTTTTCCAATTGTAAAAATGGTAATTCCAACTTTAATGTTGGTTTTTCCGACTTTAAAGTTGGTAATTTCAACTTCCAACTTAAATCTTGGCTTTCCTAATATCAAAGTTGGTAATTCCAACTTTAATCCGGGCTTTTCCAACTTTAATTTGAGCTTTTCTAATTTTTCCTTGCCTTTTTTTCTTTCTTTAATATTACATTTATATTATCAATTTTATTAATGCAAATTTAATACACTGAAACAAATTGGCTAGAGCAATTAAACTGTGTCAATTAGTTTTGACCTTGGCCCTCCCTATGACGTTACATATGATGTATAACTTCCAAGTTTAAAATCCATTATACATGTATTTATCTTAGTTTATCTTATATAATTTTATAGAGGATAACTTCATACAACTCCTTAAATGAGATACCTATTTAAGAGATCAGACATGCATAAATTTGTTGAGAATAAGCTTAAACAAATGGGATCATATTAGGTGTTTGATATACATGTATAGGGTGAATCAGCACAGTGTTTCATGTTTCAAAGACAACTGTATTCAATGTATCAATTTTGTATATGAAAACACAATGGAAATACTTCCTTCTTTCATCATAATTTCATTATTAGATAGTTTCTTTCCAATGTAATTATTAAACAACAACAAGGGTCTAGCTACAAAGTATACGAATAAAACGCATGAAACCGTAAACAGTTGAAAAACTCAATATGAAAGTTGGAAAAAGTTTTAAAAGGGCAAGATTAAAGATGGAATTACCCAATTTAAAGTTGGAATTACTATCATGTTGTAAATTTTGAATTTACTAGGGGGAGGTAAATGCAAAATTTACCTCCCCCTAGTAAATTCAAAATTTACAACATGATATTACCCACCTTAGATTTGGAAAAGCCAATATAAAAGTTGGAAAGGCAAGATTCAAGTTGGAATTACCAACTTAAAAGTTGGAAAAGCCAAGATTAAAGTTGAAATTACCAACTTTAAAGTTGGAAAAACCAGGATTAAAGTTGGAATTACTAACTTTAAAGTTGGAAAAGCCAACTTTTAATTTGGAATTACCAACTTAAAAAAAATTACTTGGCACTAATACGTATCCGTAAAAAAAAAAAAAACCAAACAGCATAGAATACTAGTAAACAGATAAAACAGCATTTTAATTAACCTGTGCATACAAGTAGACTACACTAACATACATAATTCTGTATATCGGTTTTTGATTTCGATTAACGGTGTTGCCATTGTTAATAAAAATAGACATTTCTGAGAAATACTTTCAAAACGCTACTCCTCCTACAGTTCTGATCTGATTTCAATATAACTTGATACAGAAGTACTACACTAAGCAACATATAATCTCTGTATCCGTTTTTGATTTCAGTGAACGGTGTGGCCATGGTTACTAAAATTGAAATTTCTGTGAAATACTTTCAAAATTCTTCTCCTACTTTTAGTCTGATTTCGATATAACTTTGCACACAAGTGACTTCATTGAGTTACATAATACTGTGCATTGGTTTTGATTTTGATGAACGGTCTTGTCATAGTTTCTAGAAATAGAAATTTCTGTGAATTCTTTCAAAAGACTGCTCCTCCAACAGTTTTAGTCTGATTGCAATAAATCTTGCCACAAAGAAACTAAACCAAGTATCATTATTCTGTTTATTGCTGTTGCATAGTTTCAAGTGCAAGTACTATTTTCTCCTCCTTTGTTATAAGTAGAAACCAGTAGAGCTACAATCTCGTTCTAAAGCTTAATTTTGCCCCCAACTCTTGGATTATTTTCTTGAAATAAATTATTTATTAACTTCAATTATTATTTATTAAACAATTTAATGGTCAGATTTGTTTGAAAGCTTATATCATAATCATATAAATTCATTTATGATACTGAATAAAGACTTTATACAAAAAATAGAAGAAAGGTTGCTGACAAAAATCACGCCAGAGCTATCAAAAATTGTATACTAGTATCGTTGTATAATTTTTCAGTGCATACATTAATTTTGAGCAATTTGTCACTTTCCAGATAACTATATAACTATATTTACTAATATGTACTTTGAGAACAGAATTCGATTTTTTGAACTTTCTGAAATTTACATTTTGATCTATAAATGCTGTAGATTAAAATCCCTCCAACTGACAAATCAACAAAACAATCTTGTGGCCCAGTTGATATATGGATCAAAAGTGGGATGGCACCTCCTGTTGAAGCTTTAAGTAAACATACAATCGATATAATGAAAACCTGGTCGATAAGAACTTTGATTTTCCTGTTACTTCTTTGTACACGTAAGATAAGGATGACTTCAAAGTACATGTGTTAAAGCCTTTGAAACTTTACGACATTATTGGAGTATAGACATTTTCTTACTTTCACGTGGGTTAATTCACAACTTTTTTTTGGGTGTGTGTGTTGGGGGGGGGGGGGGCTACGTAATAAAAACAATGTATTATTCGCAGATTTTTGTTTTGTGCATGCTCGTACATTTTGCAAGGAAGCATCTGTGCATGTAAATTATGTTAGTATGACTTTGCATAATTTAAAGAACGAATATAAAAAGACGAAGTTTTTGTAAAGGATAATTTTTAAAGATATATATGATACTTATGCACAGACTTGATTAACTTAAACCATAATACCAACGAATATTGAAGTGTCTGGTTTCCATTTTACATAAAACCAATATTTTTATTTTGACACTAATCTGTTTTAATGTATAGTCTGAGTTGATCTGTACGTACATCTGTGATAAAACGATCAGAACAATTTGTAAATGAGCCATCGTAAGGTTTATTTGGATTAAATGTTCGACCATGCTTCAACTTAATTGCTTCGAAGTGGTCCGATCTATAGTCGATATTGAAACGTTTAATACCATCACTCGTACTAATAAAAAAAGAGAAAAATACTCAAACAATGACACACATTACAATGATATTGAAATATTGTGGTATTCTGCCAAGATACACAGAAGTGTCCATTCAGATAACAATCCCTCTTTAACTGCAAATGTAATTTCAATTTCATTGCAATGTGTTTTGTTTGAAATTTTATTTTTGAGACGCTAAGCAAGTTTTGATACTAGAATTTC